AAGCCCTCCCCTGGTGTGGGCGGGGCCTCCACGGGGGTGTGTTCGGATGGGCGTGTGGGATGGCCGATGGGGAAGCCTGGTGAGGGGGTGGGGGTGGGCCCTTGGGCTGGCAGTGGGTGTGGTTTGAGGGTGTGGGCGTGGCCTTTGTGCTGGAAGTGAGTGGGCTGGGCGCTGTGGGCGGGGCTGTATCGGGGATGTGGGCGTGGCTGGGGAAATGCGGGCGACACTGTGGTGCGGAAGTGGGTGGGGCTGTGCCGTGTGGGCGTGGCCTAGCCCCGTGAAGGGGTGTGGCTTGGCTGTGTGGGCGGGACACAGCTGGGCAGCTGCCTGCGGCGACAGGGGCAACTGGGAGGTGGCGGGGACGCCTGTCCTGCCCTACAAGCAGGGGCCCTGGTGCTCCCTCTGCACCGCCGGCCTCTCCGGCTGCTTCAAGTCCTGGGACCACGGTGGCGGGCTCTGCGGTGAGTTCTCGCGGTCCCCCCGCCCCTGCGGGGCCCTCGCCATGCCGCAGCCCTCGACGCCCAACGCTGCCTCTCTGCTGTGCCCAGAGGTGCCCAGGAACCCCTGTCGCATGAGCTGCAGGAACAGCGGGCGCCTCAACATGAGCAGCTGCCAGTGCGCCTGTCCCCCCGGCTACACGGGCAGGTACTGCCAAGGTGAGAGGGGCACCTGCACCGCCCCTGCCTCCTCCTGCCTCCGGAGAGCCACACGTGCGTGGCTGGTGCGATGCACGGCCGCTGCAGCGTGGGCAGCTCAGCGCAGTGCTCTGATGCCCAGTGCAAGCTCAGCGGAGGTAGTCAGGGGCTGCTAAGCTCCCCTGTCAGCTGACACAGCACCTCGCCCCCAGTGAGGTGCAGTGGGCAGTGCCTCCACGGGAAATTCAGGAAGGAGGAATGCTCCTGCCTCTGCGACGTGGGCTACGGTGGAGCCGAGTGCGGCAGTGAGTGTGTGCTGCTTTGGGTGGCAGCAGGGATCTGCAGGCAGGGACCCCCGGAGCAGGGCTAAGGATCCTCCGGCAGGCCCAGCTCTGCTGGCACGAGGACCCACCCGCACCTGTCTGTGCCCCCAGCGAAGATTCGATTCCCTTTCCACACCTGTGATGTGAGGATAGACGGTGACTGCTTCATGGTGTCCCCCGAGGCCGACACCTACTATGGAGCCAAAATAAAGTGCCAGGTGAGCCACTGGGATGCTCTGGGCATCCCTTTGCACCTGCAAAATGCCACCCATGCTCACAGCCCATCTCTCTGCTGCCCGGTGTGGGTCTGGGCCATGTGTTTGGGGCTGACTCACTCCCTTCCCCACAGGAGAAAGGGGCAATGCTGGCTCAGATCAGAAACCAGAAGGTCCAGGACATCCTGGCTTTCTACCTCAGCCGCTTGGAGACTGGTAACAGGGTGATGGACACTGATTTTGAGACAGGGAACTTCTGGATTGGTGAGTGACAGTGGTGGGCAGAGTGCGGGGTGCCCAAGGTGGTGCCAGGTGGATGTGCCACCCTGCTTCACGCCACCCCAGGTCTCACCTACAAGACATCTAAGGCTGCCTTCCGCTGGGATGTGGGCGAGCTGTCCTCCTTCACCAGCTTTGCTTTTGGGCAGCCAGACAACCAGGGGTAAGTGCCCGCTGAATCCAGAGGACACCCAACCTCTGTGCAGTGTCACTGCTGTGCCACTGCGCTGGACAGTTTCACCACCCTCCTGCCGGGCCACAGGTTTGGGAACTGCGTGGAGATGCAAGCGTCAGCCGCCTTCAACTGGAACGACCAGCGCTGCAAGACCCGAAACCGGTACATCTGCCAGTTCGGTGAGTGAGCACCAGGAGAGCTCCCACACCTTCCTGGGGGTGCCAAGCCGTGATGGTGCCAACCCCGGGCTCTGCTGGCCCTGTGCCTTGCTGCCAGCCCTGCCCAGACCCCTGGGCATGGGGGGCACTGACTCTGCATGCTGTCACAGCCCAGGAGCACATCTCCCTGTGGCAGTGGGACCCCTGAGCCGGCAGCCCCAGGCACGGCCAGTGCTGGCTGCTGTGCCGAGCCTGTGGCTCTGGAGGACCCCGGTGCTGTGCCAAGCCTGGACCATGGCTCAGGAGGACCCCTCATGGCTATCCTGTGCAGGGGATGGGGTGTTGAGGGGACCCATGGTGCTGGGACCTGATGAGAAGGGCGTGTGCTCTCCATCAACATCCCTGAGACAGCATCTTCTTCTGCCCCTCATGCTGCAACAGCCCCCAGGGCAGGGAGATGCCCCCACAACAGCGAGGTCCAACAAGCATCCTCATGCTAAATTGGCAGCCTGGCTGTGTCCGGACCACAGTCCTGATGCGATGAGGGGCCAAGTGGGGCTTCTGGGGGACACAGACCTTGTCATGGCTCAGGGTGAGGGCTGGGCTCAGCTCCGAGCCATTGTCCTGACCTGGGTGGGAATCCCCCAGCCTGGCACTGTGGGTTTCTCACCATCCCAGTCCTTCACCATCACCCAATTCCTCATCGTCTGCTGGCTGGTTAATAAAGACCCTCTCTTCCTTGGGAAGAGCTGTTTGTCTTCTTTTCCTCCCTCAGACCCATCAGAGTCTCCCTCTGCTGTGGTCTGCATCCTGCTTGCACGGAGCGGTACCTCCGGCTCCATCCCTGGAGTGGCTGCTGGGGTTGGAGGAGCTGGGACCAGCCCGGCTCCTGGCCGAGCTCCTGTCTCCCACACCCGGGGGTGTTTTGGAGGGGTGGCATTAGCCAAGAGCAGCTTCCATCCCCAGGATGGCTCCAAGCCATGGCACTCCATGTGCTGGGCACAGGCCTGTGCCCCCAGTGCTGACAGGTGTCAGTGGGTGCCTCTGGAGAGGACACACTGGGGAGTCACTCCCCTCGGCTGCCCTCCTCCCTTCCCAGCTGGGAGTAGGCTGGGATGGAAGGTAAAATATCCCCGGCCAGAGTGCTGCGTGCCGGTTGTTTGTGCCCTGGCTCTGTGGAGGGAGGGCGAAGCTGGGCTCACAGCTCCGGGGCCACCTGGGCAAAGCCGGGGTGCAACCAAGTCGTGGGCCAGGAGGGCAAGGTCCCACAGTCGGAGTGGACTGGTGGCAGGAGCTGGGGGCAGGAGCCCGGGGAGGATGAGGGAGGTTGAGGAGAGAGGATGAGGATGGCCCAGCGCAGTCACCATGTCCGTACAGCGGCAGCCTCCAGGGCAGCAGAGGCGGCAGGGACAGGCGGGAGCGGGGCCATCGGGCAGCGCTGCGCCTGGGGAGGGGCGCGGGCGGG